CCCCAAAACCCCAAAACCCCAAAACCCCAAAACCCCAAAACCCCAGACTACCCTTTCTGCTGAAACTCGTCAATCCTGATCAAACCAGTTTTTGTATTAATTTTATGAATGGGTCAGTTCACTTTTATTTGGGCTTGCAGTTACTGGAAATTATTAGGAGCAGGATCGAGAAGCAGCCCAAGGTTAAGCCAATGTACTGGTGCAAATTAGGGAATCTGGCAAATATCAATATATCCAGCCCAGTTTGAATTATATTCTTCGATTCGATCAAACAGTTGGCAACTCCTGCTTTTCCTCTAACGATTACATAAGAATAGAGATAGTTGCTGAGGCTGAAGAGACATCCTCCGAGTATCCCTACATATAAATCCAATGTTTCATATTCAAATCCTTGGTATACACAAATTATGAAATATACACAAAACGATCCTTCCATGAAGACCATAACGAAATTAAAGAGGGCAGACACATTAACTTCTTTCACACCTCCATAGAAGTATTTCAAAACTGCTGTTCTCATCACATCAAAGAATCCTGAGATTATTGCAAAAATGCAACTAAGAATGATATAAAACTGGGCTGTCTCGTGTTTAATGACAATACTGTTATCTCCAGAAATCATTATTAGAGAAACGGCAATAGTCATGATAAGAACACATAGAACTTCGTACCATTTCATAGTTTGGTTAAAAATGAAATAAAATGCTATTGAGGTCTGTATAGCACGTAGAGCAGTCAAAGAAGTCAAAATTCCTGTATTCAGATTTCCAATAACTGCTCAATAATAAGATGCAAAGAAAGAACCATAAGATAGGAAACAAAATAACAAGATAAGTCCAGAGCTAAAAACTCTTTTATACTGAATTTTAGATTCCCATTGGTTTTCAATAACTCTCTCAGCTTCATCTACTTTTCTATGCAAATAGATATCAAAGAGCCATTTGTACCATGGATTTTTCCTATGTTCAACACTATCTGATCTTTCTGGTGCTTTTTCATATCTGATTTGAAAAGATAGAAAAACCAAAGGAGCTAGATTTCCGAAAATGCCTCCTATACCTTGCATCCCAGCTGTCTTTAACCCATACTTAGAAATATAAGCAATACAAATATTTCCTCCAGCATATCAAACTCCAACAATAAAGGAAAGAGGGACCCAAACCTTGGGGCTTACCTCTCCATCGTAATTCTTTTCTAAAAGTTCTTGGTTCTCATCATCGTCTAGCATATTTCTGTAAGTATCTCCTTCAAGCTGCATGCTTCCATGCTGTCTGATTGGTTTGATCGACATTATATTTTAATTTTCTATTAGAAAACAAGATTTCGGGGTTTTGGGGTTTTGGGGTTTTGGGGTTTTGGGGTTTTGGGGTTTTGGGG